GCAATAGGTCAGTTATGCCAGTCACAGAATCGTGTTTAGATGATCTAGGATCATCAACTGATTACGAGATCTATTCAAACATTAAGCTCCGCACCCAGTTCTGACGGAACTACCACCCCTCAAAAAACACTGTGTCATCTACTCTGCCGTGCTAAGAAAAAACGCCGTATGAACATTCGAGAGTTGCCAAATTTCCTTCTCCAAAATGTTTATTTTTGGGGAAATTTATGAATATTTTTTCCTGAAATTTTCAAAGACTATGGTTGAAATCGAGAGCAAAATTATCCGACAAATTGGAGGAAAAATATTTATAATTTTAACAGAAAAGTCAAGTTTTATCAAATGAAATTTGGCAACACCTGAAGGTTCATACGGCGTTCTTCCTTAGCACGGCAGTACTGTGCGTGGCGGTGCGTACTATGGTTTCTTACACCTTTGATACATCCATATTTAAGTCGAGCAATAAGTGCAAACGTGCAGTTTGTTAAGTGATAGTGTCCTTCCTTGTACGTATCTTAATTTCCGTGTGAGCCCTGTTTTATAAATGAATCCTTGCTCTCTGGGGCTCATACGGAAAACGAGACACGCCATTACATTAAAGGAGCGACGATAGACTGGTGAACAGAAAAATCCGAAACCATGACATATACTACCACGATGGATGACATCATATGCTGCGTTTTCCTGAAGGCGACATCTCTGCTTGATATTGAAAGCAAAATTTAAGCGTTTGGATATATTTTACTATTGGTATTTGGAGTGTAGCCGAGTGCTAGAAATAATGTATAATTTACTTGTTTTTACTTGTTATTTTTTTAATTGTTTATCAATTGTTACCATCGATGAAATCTGTTACCTTGTTTGAAATTAAATTATGGCCTTTGTGATATCGATTTTGTGACCCTGACGATGAAGCGTTTGCTGCTGAAAGCTTCGGTCTATAAGTTTGTTAATAAAATGTGAGTTTCTTAAAGAACATTTTACATTATTTCTAGCACTCAACTACACTCCAAATACCAATATACCTATTCAGTGCTACTACCTTTCAGACATTGTATTACAATGTTCGCTGATTTTGATATTTTACTATGTTTCGTTAATGAACAAACTGAAATCAACGAAGCATGGTTCCGAGACCAGCCCTATCGACTCATTCCATGTATCGTCTTGTCAAAAAGTTAGTTTGACCTCAGAGCTCAAATGTCGCATCGCCTAAAGGACTGTATTCATGTGGCATTTGGATTTCTGAGAAAGTGGAAGTACGTTTCCTCATATTTGCGATTAACTCCAGGCCGAACTCTTTGAAATAATGAATTTCTGTGTCTTTTTGCGCCGGCCATGTGAGTCGAGCTGAAGAATAGATCGTATTCGATAAATCAATCAGGTGATATTGTATCGATATCGATTGGTTCAATATGTAAACATAGCCTTGAAAGTCAATTTAGAAATCTAACGTGACGGGTCTTTTGTGATCGAATTTTTATTCTGTCTAGCATCAAATGTCAATGGTACGTGAAACTGTTAGGAATTTTCTCATTTTCAGCTTTTCTATATTATATCCTAAAATTTTTGTTGGAGATCAGCCGGCCAGATTAGTCTAGTGGTCAGCGCGTCTGACTCTAGACCAATAGGTCTCGAGTTCGAATCCCGATGGTGGCGACAAATTTTCACGGAACTGGCGAGTGGATCTGCAGAAATAGATTCTACTCGATCGTAATCCCTGAAAATTTGTTAGCCGGAGCATAGAGCATGGATGTACCAAAATCCCCATGATGTCTACTGACAATAAAAATACTGTCCATAGTTGGCTGTATACCCCTACACTGGGGAAAAAAAAAAAAAAACAAAAAACACATTGGATCTAGAGTCTAGACTCTTAAAAACATCGACAAGAAAAAATACTCTTGATTCGATCAGATTTAAGCTTAAATCAAAAGGAAATACGCTTAGAATAAGAGGCTGGGTTCTTGATTTAAGCTTAAATCCGATTGAATCAAGAGTATTTTTTCTTGTCGATGTTTTTAAGAGTCTGGACTCTAGAGCCATTGTGTTTTTTTTTTTTTCAAGTGTAAGATGGGGTAGAAATGATTAAACCTGCAAAGAAAAAAAAGAAGTTTGAGGTTATGTTCTATTGTTTTGAACCAAACGATACATCGAACCAATATCGAATACGATCAATTGAAAACAACAGGAACGAAGAGGATGAATCAAGAGGACCCACGACCCGGATACTGGGAGCAATAAGAGTTGATGGTAGTGGCGGCTCAGCGGGAATGAGAAAACTATTCGAGGAATGAGGAGAGGAGACAGGCTTGTCGTTCGTGCTTGGAGCTTACTGCGTCAGGACACATCCTGGTCTCCGATCTCGTTCTCAGCACTCGAATAATTAATCACGCAATGAATCAAGGCGAGAAGACGGGCCGATTGGCACCTGTCGCCTCGCAACTACTTCACACCGTCCCGGGCCTCGCCTAATACAACTTTAATCGTATTCAATGAACTTCAAAAAATTTTACTGTCCAAAATAGAAGAAGAAGAAACTAGAAAAATGCTGTCATCCGTGTCGATAATTGAAACGGATGGTTCCAGAAAAGCCAAACGCTGAGGATTGAAATGTTGAACAGTAGGAAAATTCATTCCAGGGAAGAGATTCTGAGTAGTTTCAAGGAACAAATGAACATATTAATGCTAAAAGAAACTATGTGGATAGGGTTTCCGTGCAATATGCTTCCATTTAGCAAAATAAGCTCTAATAACCGGAGATGTTATTTATACGCAAATGCTCTTACCCGATCTGGGTGTAGAAATTTTAAAATTTAAATACGGATGGACACAGCAAATCACTCACAAAATAATTGTCCTGCTCCTGGGCTGGGTAAAATCAAGCTTTATTATGCTGTGTTATTCTGACGATGTAAACGGATGGCTCCAGAAAAGCCAAACGCTGAGGATTGAAATGTTCAACAAAGGGAAATTCATTCCAGGGAAGAGATTCTAAGTAGTTTCAAGGAACGAATGAACATTTTAATGCTAAAATAGGTTATGTGAATAGGGTGCCCGTGCAATATAGTTCATTTTAGCATACATATGTTCTTATAATCGAAGATGTTATTTACGTAAATGCTCTCAGCCAATCTGGGTGTAGAAATTTTGAAATTTAAATACGGATGGACACAGCAAGTCACCCACAAAAAAATTTTCATGCTAAATCGATATTCTCAGCTGGGTAGAATAAGTCTCATTCTATTGAGTAATTTACAAACCTTTTTTTTTATTTTTTTCAAAAAAAAAGAAAAAAAAAGACAGACATTCTCCATGGGATTGCTCCAAGTACAAATATCTATTTGAATCTTCTTAAAAAATTTCAAACTAGCGATTGTCTTTTAACTTTAGCAGATTTTGTCAATTTGGAAACATTTTTCTTCCAAATTCTTTACGAAGTTGAAATTAGGTTGGCAATTTAAAATTTCGAAACAATGTTTCTCTCGATGTTTTTCCCCCCATTGTTTTAGTCAAGACTGTTTTTCTAAATGCAACTTTTTCTTAGTCTCTACTTGGCATGAGATGGTTCACTACCAAATCAATGTAAACGCGATAACCCTGTCAGCTACAGTAGTAAATTTTCAACACATTGAACTAATATATAAATATTTGTACAACTTTTCATATCTAAAACTATTTTAAACTTCATGCATGCATCTGGTATCTAAACATTTTGAAGGAGATTTTAGCCCAGTCCACTTACACTCGTGTTCACAGAGAATTCGATCAGTACCTGTTCTGCCCACGGAATCCTACCTATTAAAAAAAAATTGAGTCTGTAATTTTTTTTTGATAACAGATTAAACTGCATCTGTAACATTTGTCTTCATCACGCGAGTATTCATTGATTGCAGAATTTTAAATTCAGTTTTTGGATAGCTAAATTAGTCCACCTTTGAGTTTAGTCCAATTTTGTCATGATCTGTTCCGACGAGGATAGTTATCCGACTTGCACCTAATTAGCGGCTTCTCTTGGCGGATAATTATGATTTCCAAATGTGGGAAGGTGTGAAAATTCCCACGGTTCTGCGAGAAGATTTGCCGTGTTGAGGAAACACGCAATGTAAACACTGTGACGGTGCCAAAGGTTTTCTAATGAAATAAAAATCTCCCGGTACTCTTGCTAAACTTTTTATTCAATTTACTCAAATTACATTTTAGGATTTGTACTCCATTTTTTCTACTGGGTCTCCAAATTTCTAAGATAATTAGTCGTAAATCTTCTAAAAGAAATGACTATTCAACCGGGGTAACTTTGGCAACATTTAGATGCTTTTACACCGTTCTTTCAATGCAGAGTAAAGCTGGAACTGGAGCTGGAACGTTCTAGTAAAGAGAATTATAATCCTCGCAACCATCCTCTCCCTAAAACTATGACAGAGAGGATTGTAACGCCAAACTTAATTAACGTAACTGATGGGCTTGGAGGACAAGGCGCATAAGTGCATTTTTTGAAAAAATTGCGATATTTATGATTTCAAGTAAAACTAGTCTTGATGCATATACTGTGAAAAATTCGCTCCCAAATTCTAATTTTTTAGCATCAACAAGTCAGTTTTAACTTTATCTCCGTCATTAGGATCCATGTAATTTCGAATCTTTAAACACGTATTTCTGGCAGTATCAAAAAATGCACTTATGCGCCTGGTCCTCTGAGCCCCTCAATTTAGGGTTGATGGATTCTAGTGGGATTGATCCAGCAAGGTTACGTCAGGGAACCACGCGCATACGATTGGCTCTTATTGTCCAAAAGCGTTTGCCCAAACTCCGAGCGATCGCATCTCCTCTTGTCTCGCGATCGCGGGGTTTTCCTCCGCAAGCACTTTGAATGAATTTACAATGCATGCGTGTTTTCCATACATTCCGTGCTTCCCCTTTCTAAGAGATGTTGATCAAACCACCCCAGTTTAAGCTACTTGGCGTCAGTTTACCGTGGCTTGTACGTGGTGATTGGACATTGGACTCCGCTGCAAAGTTTTCGCGGGTGCATTTTGTTTTGAAGACTGTTATCAGTGCGTTGAGATTGGAAATTCGCCTACCGGTGTTGTTTTAGTTTGATCGCTCCATCAAGTGTTTTACCTCATTTTCTTAATGTGATAATGATACACACGGAAATGTATTTTGAGGGGGTGGAAATTTTTGATTTGGATGTTGAAGCTGATCAGATTCTAACAGGTGAGTTCTGTAGTGCTTATCAGTATTTTTAAGTAACTTGTCGCATTCTAAAAGGGGAAGGTACTGACATGTTGGTAAGGTATTCTTTTCTCGATTTCGTGTGTTAGTTGGGACATAAACAAAAATTATTTAATATTTTTAAGTGTCTTAAATGGCCCTTCGATGACTAAATTGGGGTCTTAAATACACACAAAAAGTCGTTAATCATCGAATGCGATCTCTATAATAGTATCTAAAATAGATCTCTCTCCAATAGTTGACATATGTTTATCTCATAAGAAGTTTTCAATTTTTTTACTTATTTACTTTTTGTTAAATTTTTGCCCGCGTAAAGATAAAGGACCATTTTTAAACTCTCAACATTTGAGAAAAGTGAAATGATCAATAGTAAAGACCAAATTTTGCGGGGAAAAAAAATCAAAATAACATCAACAAGCAAAAAAGAAAGAAATAAAATATATCATGACAATATTACTTCCAGTGACTTCAGATTAAAAGAGTATCAACGCAGTGTTCATGACTACCAAATTTAGTTTTCTTAATCACTTATCGATAAATGACTGCATGTTTAAGAAGAATTTTTTTTTTTTTTTTTTAAACGCGTTAGAAGTTAATTTTTTAGCAACATTCTTCGGAATAAGTAGAAGTTCAGAAAAGTAAATGTATATTCACAAGTAAACTTTGTGCTTGAAAAATCAGCATTAGTAAGATTCTAGCGCTCGATGTTTTTTAAATCACTAGGAGTGTAATTTCATAATGAGCATCCAAAATAAAAGTTCTATTTCATTTTTAAATTAGTTCGATCCGATTAAAGATTGATTCAGGTCGACGTAGTATATCGTGTCTGTTTTTCAAAACTTCGGATATATATCTAATATCTTGAATCAGGTGTCTAAAAGTGTATACTTTTCTTTTTCTCTTTTTCTGTTTTTTTACCACACTCCATATGAGTAGGAATAATAAAAAAATTGAGGTAGGGTGCGTTGCGTAGTTTTTTTTATTTATTTATTTTATTTATTTATTTAATTTCGTGTCAGAATTAGTGCGGCGATTAACTCGAGTATGGATATTTGTGCATGATTTTAGGGTTACTTTCAACGGTCAAGTTGTAAAACTGAATTTGCCTAAAATTCGAGGTCTGTTAGTTCCTTTGCCCATACATAAAAGTGAATTACGTATTTTTTAATAGGACGTTGTGCGCCTTCGTGTTAGCGGGTAGGCAATAATACTTCTACGCTTTGAAACTGTCGCATCCTCTGAGATATCTTAAGGGCTTTACGTTCTTACAGGAACAACAGGGCAAGGGCAGAGGGTTTTGTCGTTTTTTTTTTCTTTTTTACCTTCTGTATCATGACTTAATATTTTTTGTATCTCAATTCAAGTATAGTGTATGTTTTTATTAACTTTGGGTGTAATATTCCGCAGGGCAAGTGATAGGAGAAGAACCAGTGAGTTCGACTTCATCAACACCACCGCCAACATCAACGACGACATCCGACGTGCCTTTGAGCCCCTTCTGCGCCGTCTGTGGCGACAAATCGACCGGTAAACATTATGGCGCCCCGTGTTGCGACGGCTGCAAAGGCTTCTTCCGCCGGTCTATAAGGAAAAACTACAACTACGCCTGCAGGTTCGCTTTTTTACATATTATCTTGCGTATATTGTATAGCTCAAATCTACATGAACCCCCTTAGCAATTTATCATAAAAAAATTGAAAGGTTTTCATTACTCGCTCATAGACTCTTTAGTATCAAGATTTTATTTCGGCACACTTGCAAGATAATTTTTTGTTGAGGTAATTTCCTTGATTTTAAATTTTTCAAGAGATTTTTGCTCACGATATTTTAACAGGGGGCTATCATTTAACGTACTGCTCACTGGAAAAAAAAAAAAAAAACAACAACATTGGATCTAGAGTCCAGACTCTTAAAAACATCGACAAGAAAAAGTAATCTTGATTCAATCAGAATCTAGCTTGAATCAAGAACCAAGCCCCTTAAATTAAGCGGATTTCGTTCTGATTCAAGCAAAAATCCGATTGAATCAAGAGTATTTTTCCTTGTCAATGTTTCAAAGAGTCTTGACTCTAGATCCAATGTGCTTTGTTTCCAGTGCTGGGTGCTTGAAGAACCATAATTTTAAAAAGTCCTCACGCACTATTCGTTGTTAATAATGTATAACATAGTTTAGAGGGAAATACCGTCCAACCGGCTGGGGCTGTATGGGAACCTTATGGACGGAGCCCCCCAAGCTCTGTATACTTCAGCCCCCCCCCTCCTCGCTCCTCTGTCTTTAGTGCGTTCGCCAATCGATTCCTAGTTGTCAAGACAAGGAAATTAACCGAAGGGATGCCAGGAACGGTGGAAGCACCTAGAAGGTCGCCTGGTTGTTTTTCTTGCCTTGGCGTTTAAGTCTCCTCGTCAGTGACTGTAGCGGAGCGGAACTCCAGCGTCTGAATTGTTGAATCGTTATTGAATGAACTTGGTCTATACACATCCCTATCGTGGCAACGCTAACTCGTGCATTTTTCTATCCGATTAGAAAATTATTGATTTTGAATGAATTATTCAAACAATAGCGATTTCTCAGAATCATTGGTTTCTATAATCAATATAGGTTACTACCACAAACCAGGTTACCACTCATATTTGGATTGCATTTTGCAAAAAGGAAACCAGGACCATTCAATGTCGCTAAGATTGTGCAACTTTCTTCGCCCTGCAAATATAAACTGATTATCTATTCCAGTTTTACCTTTACTCTGAAGAAACTATGAAATCAAGACGAAAATTACCTTGATAAATTTGATTGTTTTCAATATTTCAGTAATTTTATTGCAAAGAATTTATGTTGCACAATCCTAGGAACATTAGAATGCTCTTGGTTCCTTTTTGCAAAATGTAATCCATTTATGCTAATTACCGTAATAACCTTTTTGATTGATTGCTCCAAACGACCAAGTGCGAGAGAATTCATGAACCAAACTTTAATTCTTATTTTTCAACTTTGACGAGCTTTAGAGCAAATTAGATTGTGATGATGTTTTTACATGTTATTACAAGACCAACCAAAATACTATGAACATTTTTCATATTTCTTTATGCAGATTTGATCGCAACTGCGTTGTGGACGTTGAAAGTAGAAACCGGTGCAGATTTTGTCGGCTGAAGAAGTGCCTAGAAATTGGGATGAATAAAGATGGTAAGCAACTCTTCTCTGTTTTCCGCTGTTCATTTGGAGAAATGACCATTGCAACACAGATCTACAGTCTCTGAGACGTAATGAATATCATTGAGCCTGTGTACAAAGCATGCATTAAAGAAAAAAATGTCCTCTATTCAAAATTTTACGTAGAAAACGCATTACACAACGAGACGTCTGGGAATTGCCAGCTGAACAAGAAATCGGTGTTTATGAATAACATTGTTTGATTGGCAAAAAACATAAGTGATGTCATTTTTTTAATCTAATTTCTATTTGATCTGTATCAAAAATACCTAGTCATATCACGATCAGGATATGATTGCTGAGCTTCCCGTTGTGCAAATCGTATTTTGCGTAAAATTTTAAAGAGAAAATATATCACGGTTTTTTATTAGTTCAGTTCTAAAATAATTAGAAAGGGAAGAAGAATCTTGGTACTATAGATTTTTTATTGCAGGTTATTTACTTACATGCTGATTACTAGATGCATGATTACAATGATTACATGCTGAAGGCCTTTTCGGCCTCTCATGGTCATCTTCAGAGCAATAGAACAAATAGAAAAGAAATATTACATACTGGTATCAAACAGATGAATAAGCAAAAGAAAAGAAAAATAAACTTTAACAATATAACTGGCAGATAAAACGAATTAGCATACAAATCACAGTGGCCAGTGCACAATCAGGTGATATTTGTGATAACAAGAAACAAACAGTTCGATAGTCACGTACAGTCCGAAACACTTTCCCGGCGTTGCTGTCCAATCAGATAGCTGACAATTTCCCAACTAGGGGCAAGTTGTAAGATGGGAGAGCCAAAATGTGCTATTTAATCGCTACGGGTGAGGAGCAGCATTTGTTGTCGTAATTTTTCCACCTATGAGACGCTCTAATATCTTTAATTTCTATTTCATTATTTTGTTGTGCGTTACAGCGGTTCAAAATGAGAGGGACCGAATCACCAGAAGAAAACCACGATCGGAAGAGCAAGGGATCAAGGGGATCTCAACAACAGCCCTTTTAACTTCGGAGAACCTTGTGCAAATGAACTCTCTGTCAGTGGAGGTAACTAAACAAACATATAAATTTCATTAATACAGACATTGAAAGGAACATGAAAGCTCTAATAATTTATTATGTAAATTTGAAAATGTGTACGACGTCCAAAAAGCTGCCATTCAATGTGCGCTGTCTTTATACAAGATTTCAAAATTTTAAACGACTAACCTAGGCTGCCACGAAACTGTTTTCATCCTTATTGCGTTTTGATGATTTTCGGTGCCATTTTGAGTTGTTCTAAACTTTAAACATGATCTACGTTACTTAAATTATCTAAGTCATGTGACTTTAAGCCTATGTTGCATGAGTAAATCACCGTTTTTGTAAAGGAAAACATCTCAAATGTGCATTTTAATTTGATAATGTACAGTATATTTTGGGTATTGGAAAGAAGTAGGGTTTCAACTTATTGCTCTTCATTCGTTTGATTTTTTTTCTTTAAAAAGAAAAAAAAAGAAGAAAAAAAATTGGAGATTAGACTTTTTACTTCTTATCCCGAAGATTCATTGAGGCTCTTCTGAAAAAAACACTTATGCGCATAGGGTAACTAATGGCACATAGGTTGTTTTTAAACCGGGCGGGAATAATGTATAGTTCCTAATTGCAAAATGCAGTCCAATTAATAGCTGTTCAATTCATTTTCATTTAATTTGTTACAGAACAATGAAGTGGGCCCGAGCTTCAAACGAGTCGCAAACGTCGCAGATATCGTTCAATCAATGTCGCAACAGTTGACACACTTAGTGGAGTGGGCAAAAAGCATAGAAGTTTTCAGCAATCTCGATTTTGACGATCAGGTAAGATCATATACCATAGTGTGCGCTCTACAATTCGCTTTCTATGAGAAAAAAATGGAGTAATATTCTCCAAAAATTTCCCCTACTCCTTTATCATATCGACACACAACTGGTCAGAAATTAAACAATTTATCTCAGAAAATTAAATACTTATTTTGCAGGACACCCAGTGAGAGAATGGCAACAGGAGGTTTTAAATGTAATGAGGATGTACGAACTATCAGGGGGGCTGTGAAAAGATAGGGCACCGTAGCGGTTCGGTGTCGCAGAGCGCCAGAGAGCACGGTGAAAGCTGCACTTGTGTATCTTAGAAGGGCCTCATACGTCCAGCACATTTAATTTATCACAACTCCGAGAATTCTTAATGGTTTGGCGCCTAAGCCCTTTTAAAATTAAACGGTTTAAATATCTGGGCCTACACTGCCGTGCTAAGGAAGAACGCCGTACGAGCCTTCAGGCGTTGCCATATTTTCTTTTAGTAACCACCGAATTTACTGGGAAAATTCTGAATATTTTTCTTCAAATTCTTCAGAAAATTTTGTTCCCAATTCAATCTAAAATATCGGATAATTTTAAGGAAAAATACGCATAACTTTCTTCAAAAATACGTGTTTTATCCGGGGAAATTTGGCAACTTTCTAATGTTCATACGGCGTTCTTTCTTAGCACGGCAGCACAAGTGTTATCGATGATTATGTCGTTTTTATGCCTATTTATCGAATATTGAATACTCCTTGATTTTAGATGAACCAAAAATGTAAGGTAAAATGTGTTTTCAAATGTTTCAGGTGGCACTCTTAAGAGCTTTCGCAAGTAAACATTTGCTCCTAACCGTGGCTAGGAGGTCACAAGATCTGAACGACTGCTTGATCCTCGGAAACGATTGTGTCATTACAAGAAATGTTTCAGGTGAGAATTAATATTCTAACATAATCTCCTTTCTGAAACATATAAATTATCAATGGTAAATTACAAAAGCACTTCCATCTTGCTTTTTAGAAGAGAATCGATCACTCGTAAAGCCTAAAACGCAAAAAAAAAACAAAAAATGATGCATTGATGATTTATTATTGCTGAGGCATAGATGCATCCTGAAACACAGTGATGAGCAGAAGAGAAATATATTTTTTTTTTTTTTTCATAACTAACAAAATTTGATTTTGATGGGAGCAAATTCTGAAATGCGATCATTCATTCCCGAAAATCCTCATGCACCAAGTCGTTGTCTCTTCTTTTTTGGGTTAAATTTCACTACAGTTTCTATAATGTTTTCAATCCGATTTTAAATTGCCTTCTTTTAATACATTCATTTTTTTTGACCTCTGAGATTTAGGACAGGATGGTATAAATAGTTTTGTACTGTTCCTCTCTTATTTTTATCTTTGATGCTCGTGTTCTCTTGAGATTGAATGATTCAATTAATATATTCCGTTTGAAGAGAGAAGAGAAACTAACTACATTGCTGCGCATGTATATTTCTAGAATCTCTTTTACGTGGAGGGGGGGGGGAGACAAACAAAAAACGGTGTTTAGTGATTTACTTGGAATACAAAGTACTTATATGCCGGGAGATTTAATACGTCGCAGATTAGTGTTGTTGTAACTTATTTTCCTAGTAAAGTTCAGCTCTCATGGCATTAAGTTACATAATGAGAAACTTGTTACATAAAAGTACATTTTCTACCGGTTACCAGATGCATGTTTCAATTTTCGGAAGATACCAGTGGGCCGATTATTGAAATTGATAGACAAAGCGATAGACATAGAAGACATGGGGAGTATGGAGCGATCCAATTGGTTGAAATGGGTGGTTCCTATAGACTAAGGGAGAAAATGATGGACTAACTATCGGTTCCCTCGTGGGGTGCCGTTACTTAGTCTATTACCTACCTTCTATGTCCATTCCAACCACCTACTTCCACCAATAGGATCCTTCCATAACTTTTTTGTCTTCTTTGTCTATAGCTTTGTCTATCAATTTCAATAATCGACCCGCAGGACCGGGAGCGTTTTAAACATAACGTGCCGACAAGTAGCTACTCTCAAATAAATAGCTATAGAATGGCAAAGTATTAGTATCTTAGATTTGAGGGGGGGGAGGGAGGGAGTGCAATTTTCATGAGAAAAATTATCAAAAATATATGGGGAAATTTTCAACAATGAAATAGCATAAAATTGAACAAAATTCTAATCTTGCTTATGGTAAACTTTTCTATTATTTGTTGCAGATATGACGGAAAGTGAGCTGGATATCAGTAACGTAGGAGCCGCCGTCATGGACAAAATCATAAAGGGCCTGAGGAAACTAAAAATTGACGAGACTGAGTTCGTTTGCTTAAAGGCGATCCTTTTTTTCAACCCAGGTAAGACAATTCATACTAACTAACGGCAGTGTTAACTTTCAATTAGTCAATTATACTCATGTGGTAAATATTATGAGAACATGGGCTCGGATAATTTGACATGGACTAAAACGGCCAAGCTGGGCCAAAATGAGCAAAAAGTCCGAGTTTTAGCGTTGACAAATGAGGGAGCGCTCAAAAATTACGTAACGCATTTAAGAGAGGGGAAGGGGGCAAGCCTGAATTATGGCACATTCCAAGGGGGTGGGGGCAAAATTCCAGAGCCGCGTCATGGTCAAGCAATTGCGTAACATTCTGGAGAGAAAAATATTTTTGTGCAACATTTTAACTAAAGTGATGGAAATGGGGTTGGGTGGAGTTTTACCTCCAGTTAGAAGTACATAGGGTGTTCAAAAAGTTTTGCACACTTCCGGATTTTGAGCGGACGAAAGCAGTTATCGATTTGAAATTTATGTGTGCTTAAAGTAGACGTAATTACCAATAAAACAAGACCAAGAACAACTCTCTAGCTTAAAAAATGACAAAGATACAGGGTTTTGAAAATGACATTTAGCGTGACCGCCTCCAGGATTTTTAGCTACAAATATGTTTATCAAGGGGAAAAAAGTTAAATGAGAATTGAGTGTTTTTATTGAAAAAACTTACAAAATCTTACGGAAATTAACGAACTTCAAGTTTCTTCATCTAATGACACGGGTGACTCAACATTCGGCTGTTTTTCGAAGTATTTTCCACCACTTTGAACACAAAGCTTCAGCCGCTCTGTCCAATTCATAAGGATCGTCTTTTCGAAGTCTTCTTGACGGAGGGTTTTGAAGCATTTTCGAACAGCGGTTTTGATCTAGGCTTTGGAATGGCTCTTTCCTGAGTTAAAGAAATTTCTAAGAGGCATACAGTTTGATTCCATAGCCTGGTATTATTCCTGGTAGCCTGGTCATACTATTTCTACTTTTATTTTATTTTACTTTATTGTCAAAATTAACTTATGCTTATTGATTTCAACCTGCCTATAAAATTTTAGTATACTAGGGGCAATGTTATCAAATGGCGCACCGCCTTATTCGGATCTCACCAGATAGGAGCCTCACATATTTAGAATAAATTGATGTGTGATAATTTTATTTAATGCTTCTGAAATTGAACCACGGAGGACAATGTCTTTTTCTATAATTTAATGGTTTAACGCTAGGGTACTTTTCTCAAAATTGTTCTTTGAAATTTTCACTGAGGAGAGTTCTATTTTCATCGGTGCCCATCTTTTTTGTTGAACTTAAAAACGCACCTACATAGAAAATTTTGTTTTGATAATGCCGTCAAAGCAAAAATTAAAACGTCTCATATCTGCTGAATTCTTTTTAGATTTTTTCAAATCTGCGGCGCGCCACCATTTAATAAAAATTGTATTTTTCACTTTGATGTGATTCGTCAAGCTCCAGTGACGTGGTCGAACTGAATTGCGATATATCGCATCGATAAGGTAAAAAATCTCGGCAGATTTTGGATTTTTAGCAAAAAAAGGACGATTGCCCCCGGACATGAGCCTACAGAATCATTCTAAACCCAAAAATTTGCAAAATTCAGAGGAATGAAAGCAGAATAGTGTTTGGAAAAAAACCTTGCATTTGATTCTGCTATCGAATTCTGTATCGAATGCGAGGTTTTTTCCAAACACTAATCTGCTTTCATTACTCTGAATTTTGCCGAGTTTTGGGTTTAGACTGATTCTGTAGGCTCATGTCCAGGGGCTATCGTCCTTTTTTTGCTAAAAATTCAAAATCTGCCGCGATTTTTTGCCTGATCGATGCGATATATCGCATGCCGGTTCGAACACGTCACTTGAGCTTGACGAATCACCTTAGACACAGACTGAAAGTTGAACGCTTCTCTAATAGGAACGTATAAGAACTTTCCCGCTATGTTTACACCCGTATGACACTGCTTTCAAGCCTAAAATTTTCTGATGTTTTCAGATGCCGATGGTCTTAATGATGAGGAAACAGTGCATGAGCTCCGAACTGAGGTGGAGGTGAATCTGCAACGCTACATCTCCGAACGCTCCGACTCTGCTGGAAGAGCCATGAACATTTTGCTAACCATCATTCCGTGTCTTCAGTCCATCGCTGACCAGCTCGTCGTTCAAATTCAAGTTGCCGATCTCTGTAATTTGGCCAACATTGATAGCCTCATTCGGGATTTACTACTTGGAGGCTGTCGAACAGAAAAGGTGGAACTCTCAAGTTCACTCCCTTCTTAAATCATAAACACCCAGTTGTTTTCCTTTAAAACTGTATTTGTATCCTATGTTCAATGATCTACGAAATTTCACTTCCAAAAATGTTCGCAGCCGAATTCTGCATGTGCACCAGTGATGAATTGAAGGTTTATTTGATTTGATTGAGGCGTTGAGTGCAGAAAGAGCATTTATTGGTTGCGTTGTTTCATAATCTTCACTGCTAATTTATAGTTTAGAGAGGAAATGATAGGGTGAAGTTACGGAAATTTGTCGTTTTTAGCATCCTAAGATTATAAAGAAAATTCAGTAAAAGTTTAAAAAAATTCCATAAATTTACTTTTATCATAAGGGATATTGCGTTAGCAGAGATTCTGCGATAACGCGATCGAAACATGCCCTTTCTGCACCCAGCGCCTCAATTACGAGCGTTATACGCGCATGCACTGTATATCTGTCATTTATATCAGGATCATGCTCTCTCCTTTTTCCGAAAATTGAATGATTCTGGCTACCCGGTAAAATTGTATTAATAATCACACATTTACTCAAATAACTCATGTTAAGTTTGTTTGCAAAGTTGTAGAGTTTTGCCATATGAATTAATCAAGTCTTAAAAATCAATACAATTGTCAGAAAATCCGCAGGAGCGGTCTCTTAAGTTACTCAGCTGCACTGTCATTTCCTCCACAATTTTTATCTTTAGGAAAGCATTTATTTGTACATATTTTGGCAATAAATTGTATTCTTAAATTCCAGTCTAATGATTTACGTTTGATACTGCAATACAGATAATCACATTTGGAAACATGAAATATTTGAAAAAAATTATAATTTCTCCAAGTTTGAAAAGATTTTTTTTGCGTGTTGAACAAACCTAATTATCCAGAAATAGCTCATCATTCAGTGGAACAATTTACCTTTAAAACATTTGAAAAATTTTGATGGAAAATACATTCGTGGCAACGAAATACAAAATTAGGCACCGTCGAACCAATTGCATATTCTCTCTGATTTTAAAAGCGTTTAAATTGAAATGTCCATTTTTTTCACGATAGCTCATGCAGGTTCTGCTTGATATTGAATCACTTTTGTGCCGAACGCTAAATCCCTAAGTTTCTGAAATTTGATGAATTTTAAAAATATTTATACATGAAAACTACTGAATGGACTAAGCATGAGGCACGACGGCATCCTAGGTTTCTAAATTGGACAATACGTTATTGAAATTGTTATGACAGAATAGTTTAATCTGCTATAGTACTCAAGTTTAAAGAGGAAACGCCGTCAGCCACCGTTGAGTCATAAAGCAGTAAACTTTTCTCCTAATAGATTTTTTGCAATTTTCAAAAAAAAAAAAAAAAAAAAAAAAAAAAAAAAAAAAAAAAAAAATTAGAAATGTGCATTCAGCTCCCCAAGGACACTTGTATGAAGTAATAAAGTTTTCGCGCGCAGATTCACTATTAGCTAACCCCCGGGTCGTAATGAATCCGGACCAATACCAAGGATCAAACTTCTGCATTCATTCGTACATTGTTACTGCGTCAAGATCTATATCTAACGAGTTTTTGTAATGAACTCAAACCAAAAAGGATACGTGTTTGAATATTTGGCAATTTGTGAGCCTGATTAAAGTTGCATTGGAATACCTTCGATAAGCAAGTTCCACGCCCGTCAAAGTTGCCAGATTGTGCAATTAAATGTGGATATTTTACGTGTGTTTGAATGGGGAAAATCTCCAATTTTTCATCACTATCTAGCAACTATGACACCCGTGCGTGAAGGAAGTTAGGAGCCTTGACATTAGTATTTGCACACGCCTTTGTGCGTTCCGCCATTTTTTCGTAAAACAAAAAGGGGAAAATTCCATCATGAAATTAAACGCTGAAAAATTTTTCCCCGATAAAATCTAAGATGAACGATGGATTGAATTTTCGAAGGAAAAGGAAAAGAATTCGAAGCTACAACCGGATACTTATAGATTTGAAAGGATCGAAGTTTAGTTTTTTTCCTTCGAGTTTGATGATGAGTCTTAAACTGCTTTGATACGAACGGCATGTGGTCATCAAATCAGTTAAGAGTCAAGATTCCATTTCCTGAAAATTGGTTCCAACTTTTTTTTTAGAATCCTCAACGAGTTAAGATTAAGAATATCTGCATTTTTATCTGGGGAAATATGTCAACTAGAAGCATTTATCTGTTATTTTTTTAAAATATTTCTTTATTGCTTACGCATTTCACAAAACTTAATGGCTTATTGACCTATCAAATCTATGCACGTACGAAAGGCATTCAAGAATTAATGTACGATTCCGTTTATTGAATGAACAAAAAATATATCAAATTTCAGGTGAATTTTGTTGAATTACTCAAAACTCACTCTCGGAAAATTGCTCAAGGGAGCTTTGCAAGTTGTAGAACTTGAATTATAAACATAGTGCTGGCAATGATGGCATTTTACCCTCTTGGGTGTTCAGCCATTTTTATCATCCTGAAGAACTATTTGCCTCTCTGGTCAATGGGCTGTTATCCACATTCTACTTCCTTGTTTCAGGAGAGGGTCGAAAGGATAAAACTATGAATCTTCAATTATTATCATAACTGTTTGGAAAAGAGCGGGGTCATCTTGAAGGAGCTAAAGCTATTGGTATAAAACTTTGACGCGGCCGTCAAGTTGATCCTTATTCAGAAATTAGGGTGCCCATGAGAAACACACGTGCTTCAATTTCAAATACTCTATTAAAATTTAGTTCTTTAAAACTAGAGAGATATTCAAGAAAGTAGACAAATTAGAGGTTGCCATTGGAAAATCAACATATTTTCATGAACAACGACATGCATCTTCATCAAACGATAACTGAAAAGTATATTGAGTCAAGCAATATGCCTAAAAATGCTATTCAAATGCCTCAGATAAATGTACTTTTACCATGTAACAGACCATGGTGCGAGATTCCTAAAATGTTATTCCTTTTCTTTTCGCTTATTTTATTTAACGGGCGTTTAAGTCTCCACGGGAGTCTCCACCTTGTAAGAGACCATTACGTCGAGGTCCCTTGAATCTTATCTTTTTTAGCACATTTTCCTAAACATGGATTAACGTCCCGACAGGATACGTTACGAGTAAAAAGAGAACCGAAGAAACCGGACTTAGAATCGAAAAAACTTCCTTGAAATTATACCAAAATGACCATGAGGTGTTGATTGTAGATCTTCATAGGCACAAAATAATTTTACACACCTCTAGACTGTGACAGAGGATCCACAAACGTTACTTTAACATGTAATGTGAATGGAAGAATCTTGATGGCGGATCTTCTGTCGCAATCTAAAAGTGCGTAAACTTATTTGCCATGGACTATAGGGTGAGATCGTCTATGATATTTTGCCCCGCCCCCTTTCCATAAACAGACAGCTCAACGAGAGGCTAATATCGATCACAAGTCGTCACCTTCCGGTCAAAGTATCACAAGCGCCATGCGACGTTAAAAATTTCCGCCGCCATTTTATTTTATCACAGAGAAATTGTTGGTTTAATTTGTTAGAAAATTTAACTGAAATTCACCGGCAGTACAAAGAAAATTCATCGAAATTTCCGGACAGATTCGTTGAACAATTTATCTGCAGAAAATAAAATGACGGCGGAAGTTTTCAAACGTTGCACGGCGCTTGTGATACTTTAGCCGGAAGCTAACGAAGCATTGCTATCCCGGGGTAACTTTCACACAAGGGTAAGGGAGATGCTGCTGATGCAAGAGCTCTGGAATATCCCGTTCGTGCACCAGGGGCACTAGGACATAGCCTTTGACTGTAACTCGTCGTCGGGGCCGGTTCGTGGCGTAACGGACATCCCATCCGATGATGTAACTGTTTCCTGGAGTAAGTTATGCAACCCTCCGGCAAGCTCCCGGTCACGGCGCCGTTGTGCAACCGAAAGGTCACCCCCTCCTCCGTTCGGTGGGTTGACTCTTGGCGGCGGCTAACGGTTTGGGCGCCAAATTTGGAGGGGGCATCCGCGGTCGGGACCGGCTGCGCGGGAGGGATTTCGCCGTGCCCCGACCGTGCCCGCTCAAAAGACGCTGCCCGGTGCTTTTGAGCCGGCCGCTAAGTCACGCTAAAATACAACGTTGCCAAGTGGCCGTCAATTGTTTGTCGAGGTCGAGCGGACGATTGGTAGTGCAAAGACGGATGTAGTAGTATTCGAACGGTGGGATGGAGATAGAGTAGGGGGTCCGGAGGGCTTCTCCCAGAAAATTTTCGGAATTTTCAAGCATCTAATTTGAGTCGATTTCGTCATGAACTACGCGGAAAAAACGTAGGGGTTAAAACCCGACTTCATTAGGGAGCGTAAAATTGGGGAAGTACCCCAATAAATTAGGTTACTAAACCCATATGTTGTGGTACTACCACAATTATTTAAAATGTCTATATCGTTCAGCATAATCGGGTAGTGTGTATAATTTTAGGGAATTACCCTTAACACTTTCTTCCGTGTATTACTAAATATAAGTGTCCCTTCCTCTTTTTTCCTTTGTTCCCTCTTTTTTTCTTCCCCCTTTTCTTCGAGTAAACGAAGGGCACGTAAGCCTCTTACGCCTCCTCTTAGACTCGCCATGGCAATAGAGGTAAAAAAGATCTCGGGAGGTGGGTTTGCATATTAAAGATTACGGTTTTATGCTATTTTGCGGAATTTTCATTGGTTGACATGACGATAAGTCAAAATGATACGTTGAAGGATTGAGATTGAAAAAGGTTGGCATTATTTGGCGGTATGGTACCATCGACTTTCACTAGAATTTTTTCTAAGTATTGCTAAGGTGACTTGACGTGATGACTTTTTGACCGATGACCGGAAAACTTCCCACTGCCAAGGTGCCTTTACCGGATGACTTTTTGACCACTAACCGGGAAAATTCCTACAGCTAAAGTGCCTCCCTTCACCGGATGAGCAAGCAAACGCCATCTACTGTGATTTGTTGGTAATGACTGGCTCCGACGTTTGAGACAAGAGTCTCATATCTATGGAGGGGGCAAAAGGTAACCACGTGGTCAAGGCTGAGTGTGGTGGCAACTTTCTTTAATTTTTCCCCTTTTTTATGCACACATTTTGGTTTTTCAGTTAGTGACCCAACTGGAGACATTTGCTTAGTACATAATAAGTAATAGGAAGATGATAGAGCCAGTTAGGCTTTTTCCAGCTAATCATAAAGCGTTCTCTCCAAATGTGGAAGCACAAAAAAAAAAATATGTTTAAGTATTACATGAGGCAATTTTTTGTCTCTTATTTACTCTTCCTCTCTTCATTGCACCCGTAACGCCAGGGCATAGCAAATCTTTGAATTTTTGAAATGATCTAAAACTTTTCAAGTAAAATAGTTATGTAACGCACCGAAACAGGCAACACTGAGAAAAAAATTCTCTTGGATCCAGAGTCCAGACTCTTAAAAAAATTGATAAGAAAGAATACATTGGATTCAATCGGATTTTTGCTCGAATGAAAAGGAGATTCGATTAAATTATGAGGCTTGCCTCTCGATTCAAGCTAAAATTCGATTGTATCAGGGTTTTTTTTCTTCTCAAATATTTTAAGAGTCTGGACTCCGGATCGGAGAGACTTTTTTCTAAACGGAGGATGTCCTTCAGCCGATGTCGTGCTAAAATTTATATCGCAAAGAAACATTTCCTCTCAGTGACGTCATCGATGAAGTACACGGAAAAAACTCATCGGCGGCAACATCGGAGGCCATGAGATG